ATTCTTTCAGCAAGCGCTCGCGGGAAAGGCGACTCCTGGGTTTGCCAGTCAGTATTGTGTCTGCCGTGCGCATCTTCCCTTTACGAGATTTTGGGGTTTCGGGTTGCGGGTGTAGGGGGTTTAAGGAGCAGCGAGCCATGACACATCATTCAATAATCGTAGCGCCGTCCGTGGAAAAAGCCTTGGCTAGGCCTCTGGGAGAATATCTAAACGCTAAGCCGTACCCGCCTTCAACCCTAAAAGCCCTAAACCCTGAACCCTAAACCCTGAACCCTGACCCTAAACCCTAAACCCTAAATCCTAAACCCAACCCCCCCCGCCCAAAGAAAAAATAATGCCAGACCATCCTACAGAGCTGAACCCTTCTGTCCTTATAGGGTCCTTTCAGGGGCTTTTGAGAGGAGATGTGCCTGGGAGAAGCTGAGTGGCTTTAGCATGCTTTAGCACGCAGGTGCCAGTCCTGCAAAACAGCCCCCCCTCCCCACTCCCCTCCCGCCCCTTCTTCCGCGCCCCTGCCCCTCCCCCCCTTCCTGCCCCCTCCCTCCCCCCCTTTTCCCCCTCTCGGTGCGTAACCAAACAGCCCCCCACAAGAAGAAGAGCAGCGTAACCAAACCCCCCCAACAGCAGTAGAGGAGCGCAGGGCCCGGAAGGGTTTAGAGCCTAAACCCTAAATTTAAGCCCTAAACCCCAGGGTTTAAGCCCCATAAGCCCTAAATTTTAGGGTTTAAGCACAAACCCCAGGGTTTAAGCCCTAAACCCTAGGGTTTAAGCCCGAAACCCTGGTTTAAGCCCTAAACCCTAGGGTTTAAGCCCTAAACCCTAGGGTTTAAGCCCTAAACCCTAGGGTTTAAGCCCTAAACCCTAGGGTTTAAGCCTTAAACCCTAGGGTTTAAGCCCTAAACCTTAGGGTTTAAGCCCTAAACCCTAAATTTAAGCCCAAACCCTAGGGTGCAAGTCAGGGTTTAGGCCCTAAACCCTAGGGTTTAAGCCCTAAACCCTAGGGTTTAAGCCCTAAACCCTAGGGTTTAGGCCCTAAACCCTAGGGTTTAAGCCCTAAACCCTAGGGTTTAAGCCCTAAACCCTAGCGGTTTAAGCCCTTAACCCTAAATTTAAGCCCAAACTTCAAGTCTTAAACTCTAGGGTTTAAGCCCTAAGCCCTAGGGTTTAAGCCCTGAACCCTAGGGTTTAAGCCCTAAACCCGAGGCTTTAAGCCCTAAACCCTAAAATTTAAGCCCTAAACCCTAGGGTTTAAGCCCTAAACCCTAGGGTTCAAGCCCTAAACCCTAGGGGTTTAAGCCCCAAACCCTAAATTTAAGCCCAAACCCTAGGGTTCAAGTCTTAAACCCTAGGGTTTAAGCCCTAAACCCTAGGGTTTAAGCCCTAAACCTTAGGGTTTAAGCCCTAAACCCTGGGGTTTAAACCCTAGGGTTTAAGCCCTAAACCCTAGGGTTTAAGCTCTAAACCCTAGGGTTTAAGCCCTAAACCCTAAATTTAAGCCCAAACCCTAGGGTTCAAGTTTTAAACCCTAGGGTTTAAGCCCTAAACCCTAGGGTTTAAGCCCTGAACCCTAGGGTTTAAGCCCTAAACCCTAGGGTTTAAGCCCTAAACCCTAGGGTTTAAGCCCTAAGCCCTAAACCCTAAATTAAAGCCCAAACCCTAGGGTTCAAGTCTTAAACCCTAGGGTTTAAGCCCTAAACCCTAGGGTTTAAGCCCTAAACCCTAGGGTTTAAGCCCTAAACCCTAGGGTTTAAGCCCTAAACCCTAGGGTTTAAGCCCTAAACCCTAGGGTTTAAGCCCTAAACCCTAGGGTTTAAGCCCTAAACCCTAGGGTTTAAGCCCTAAACCCTAGGGTTTAAGCCCTAAACCCTAGGGTTTAAGCCCTAAACCCTAAATTTAAGCCCAAACCCTAGGGTTCAAGTCTTAAACCCTAGGGTTTAAGCCCTAAACAACAACCCCCCGTTCCGACTTGTCCGGAAGTGACCCGAAACCCTAAACCCTAGACCCCAAAACCGAAGCCCTGATCCTAAACCCGCAACCCGCAAAACGCACACGCGCAACATCCCGAAACTCCTGCCGCTGCATGCTGGCTGCGCTGCAGCACGCCCCACCCACACCACAACCTCACACAGCACATACTGAGACACCTAGATGCAATTGAAAAAGACTTTCCGGCATGCAGTTTTTCTGTTGTTTTCCCCCAGAGCTCGAATCACAAGAGTACACTTAAACTGGCTAAGAGCACAGCTCCAAACACAGGTGCAGTGAAACCGTTTCCAACTAGATGCTGCAACAGATCCTGATGTTCGATGCTCAAGCACTTTCTTTGTGCTGTTGCGCACAGCCCTTGCAGTTTTGCACATTCTTCCATGCTGAGGAGTCGCCCGCGTCCTTGCCGAAAAAGAAAGTATTTTCCGCCTGGAGTTATGCACGGTACAAACCCTCCTGTGGCAATAGGTGCCCGATGAACACTCTGGTCGCATTGCATCACAAGGGTAGCGTGCAGCGGGTTGAGCCTTGGCAGTCAATCCTACAAGGCATCATGCAAAAAAGGCGAGCGCAAGATTCAAAAGCCATCAACGACAATAACTCGGAATCCTTGTGCAATCACGGGACTTTCTGCCGTGAACCAAAGCAGCCAGCCGACAGGCCAGCAATTTTTGTTGGCGCCGTGTCAACTCACTGTAGCAGCTGCTCTTCGCCAACAACTTCTGGCACAGCAACAGCAGTCGAGCTGATATCTGTTGTTTTTTGATGAAATCGATGGTGTGTTGTATCCAGCGTTTCTTGACACCACCCTGAAAGCGCTCTCGCCCCCTTGCCGTCTTTCCCGCAGGCCTGGGCTCTTCATCGAGGAACATGTCCAGGCTAGTTACTTGAACCCGCATGTTCTCCACCAGCTCAAATGCGAGTTCGACCCTTTTGCTGGCAGCGGACAAAGACGAGTGCATAAAAACCATAAACGCACGCTTGCGACGCTGTGGTAGGAAATGCTTCGAATCGATGATGTGGCATGTGCCTGAATACCCCTGGCCGGCCATTTGCGCCAATCTTAGATGAGCTTGCCAGCGGTCACTACAAAACCCGTTTCTACGGAGGCTTGCGTCATGTGCGCGCACAGTCTCAGCCTAAAAAGCCAAGCAGCATCACATCCCAGGGACGCTGTCCAGCATCCACAGCTCGTCTATGCAGCACTGCTTCCACATTTTCGAGGAGTATCAAAAGCGGCTGCCACTTCCCGACCAAGTCGGCTAGTGTAAAGAAAACATCCCCGCTGCGTGACCCAGCCCCACGTTCAAAAGCAGGCGCTTTGTGCCTCAAGCAGGACAAATCCTGGCACGGGAAGCCGCAAATCACGATATCGGGTGGTACCACAGCTTCATACCTTTGAGTTTTGAAGCAAAATGCACGGTCGGCTTCTAAAGAAGCTATATCTCCATACAAATGCGCAATTTCGGGCTGCAAGGTCTGTGCCAGCAACACCTTCCGCTTGCACACATCAAGCTCGCAAGCGCTGTACACCAACTCCGGCATCCGAAATCGGTCCCATACCTTGGCTTGTGCGAGACAGGTACGATCTTACGACGAGCCTTGGTTGCTGGAAAACTCGCATGTCGCGCACGCCCATCCTGGTCGGGGGACAGTGCCTACGCACCATGATGGGGCCCAAGTCTGCACTGCTGGGCCCCGAGCTTTCGGAACACTCCCCCTATGCTGCACCACAGCTGGGAGGCTATTTGCTTACACGGGGCTAAGGTCAGGGGCTATTTGCTTACGCACCATGCTGGGCGCCGAGCTTTGCAAGGCGTGGAACACACCTGTCCCCCACCACCACCCCCCCCCAACAACAACACGAAAGAGGCAGCGGTGGGGACTTCGGCGGCTAGGGGATCTGGTCCCTCGATGCTGCAGAGCCACTCCCATCAGAGCGTCGAGAACTATGTGGGCTACATCCAAGCCGGCGCACAGACTCATGATGCGTAGGGTCTTCCGTCCTCTCCAGGCAAGTAACTTGCACTGTGGCTCCTGCAGCAATCGGCGGAGCATCTGATGTAGATGGTCGGCCAGCACATAGTCCGACATGACGGGCCGCTCACTGCGCTATACCCCTGCAGTGAAGGACCCCCCCCCCGGCACCAACTAAAAAATATTATGGAACTGGCTGCTGCTTGTGGGTCACTCCTACTGGTCTCTGCTACATATCAGCAATACACGGTCGCGTTGCCCGCCTTGCCCGGTCCCCTTGACGACAGCGATCGGCACAGGGTTAAGCACGAAGCAAAGCATGAAGCAAAGCATGCATGTGCATCGTGACTCTGCTGCCGAGGGAACCTCTGCCGAGGCTACAAACTCACGATTGAAACCTTTCCGCTTTTTTCCCTCGCAGAACCAAGACCGCACGCATGAGCGAAGCGAGTCACGGGCTGTTCCTGTGTCTCTCTGCTGCGGCACCCCCGAACTTGTGCACTAGTGTTGCATGTGTTATAACTGTGTTATAATGAAAACACACGAAAGCTGCTGCGTTTCGGTTGCAAGACTGTTGCAAGCAAACCGGCTGTACAGTCCACAGCGCAAAATGTCCCAAGATGTTGCTGGAAGGGATACCTCCTTCATGCGTTTCGGTCCGTGGGCATGCTTGACAGCAAGGCCACTACAGCAGCAACACTCATAGCAGAGGATCGGGGCTCTACAGAAAGCTTCGAAGCTCTAAACGTCGAGCAGGGTCATCAACGTGCTGCTGACCTGCTGTCGGCCCACGCACTCGTGGAAACATGGACTTACAAACTTGAAACACGCGTAGCGCAGACTTTTCTGCCTTCGCCGCGACCCATGCGCTGATTGTTAGTCACAGCTTTCGCCTGCCAGCGCAACCTGTAGATTTCCTGGCAAAACTCCAGTCTCAAGGGCGCAGAATAGGCTAGCATGACTCTTGTGGCGAAAGCTGTCATCCCCAAGGTGAATGTCCTCGGGACATTCACACACTGCGAACCGCCGGACAAGAACTACAACGTCATGGTGACACACTTCACAGAAACAAAGCGGACACCAGTCAGCGTGAGGCGTTTCCCGGCATGGAGTTTCTTCTTCTTGCCCTTGTTTTCCAAGGCCAAATCTGAATTTGACAGGTCCTGGGCGGCAACTTCAAAGAAGGCTTCCACCCCGCCAAGGGCAGCAAAGAGCTCTACCAGATGGCGGTCTGACTGCTGCGGCTCCCACACGGCATTCGCTGTTTCCTTGTCTTTTGCCTTGAAGCTACCGTTCTTGTAGCTTGAGTAGTCGATTGAGACAACCGGCACCTCCACAAATTGCTTGATCACATCGGAAAGCTTCTGCACCCTGCCAGCGTAGAATACCTTTGTCCCCTTGTCCGGGTTCCAAGTAAGAATGCTGTTGTCATCTTCACGGCCCTCTGTCCTTACTTTGGGCGGCTGCAGTGGGGAGTGCAGTGGGAAGGTTGGGGGTAGGCTGGTGTGGAGGTGGTGGGCGAAGGGATGGGCCGTGTTATGGTGAAACTTGGGGAGTGGCGGGCGTTGCAGCCCGAGGCTCCCAGCAGAGAAGGTTCCACTGTCTGCCTGCAGGTAGTACATCATCTCTCCTGCAGAGAGGCGCTTTCTCCGCGAGCAGCTTTTGAGCATGAGGCCGCCTTCGCCGTTCACATTGGTCGTCTTCAACAACTTCCACCCGCTTGTCTCCCGAATGACATCAGCACTCTGAGACACATCATCAAGAGGGGGCTTTTCTTCCTTGGATTCTGTGGCCATGTCGTCCTGCATGATCAGATCCCGGCGCTCTTCATCGCATAGGTCTAACCCCCCCATCCCTGGCACAGAAGCTTCCCCTCCGACCCCCTCCATGAAGAACTCCTTCAGCTCAGCTTCAAGGTCCGAGGCGGTCTCCTCTTCTCCTCTTGCATGGTCCTGCTTCGTCTGTTTCCCAGGACGCATCGCCTCCGATTGCAAGCAGGGTCTTTTCCGGAGCTGCCTGGCCTGCTCATCTACCCCCCTCGGATCTACTTCCCCCGCAGCTTGTGCCGGTGACACCGGCTGGGCTGCTGGCTGGGCTGCTGCCTGGGCTGCTGGCTTGGCTGCTGTAGACTTGGCTTTGGCGGCTGCTTTTGCTTTTGGCATGCCGGCTTTCACAGGCTTTGGCTTGGGAGCACTCGGCCAAAGGAGTTCATCACCCTCGTCAACAGCGGAAGTACAAACAAACTTGGCGAAGACATCGCCATCCTCTCGAAGAAGGTCCACGTTGCTCCCTACTTTCTGCTGGAAGCCCTCCTCAGGGATGGATGACCTCAGGAACGGCCATAAGTCTGAGCAAGATGCTGTCAAGGCGTAACGCTTCGCACGTCCAATCCCGTCCAGCTGTGGGTGGATGATGGTGACTACATCCTCTGCTGGAGCACTGTCGTCGCTCAGAAGTTGCCAGCGCCTTGCAAAGCACGGTCTGTTCATGACACATCAGGTAAGCAAGTGCGCTGCACTGCATACACATAATCACGAAACCCTAACCCTAAACCCTAAACCCTAAACCCTAAACCCTAAACCCTAAACCCTAAACCCTAAACCCTAAACCCTAAACCCTAAACCCTAAACCCTAAACCCTAAACCCTAAAACCCTAAACCCTAAGCCCTAAGCCCTAAGCCCTAAGCCCTAAACCCTAAACCCTAAACCCTAAACCCTAAACCCTAAACCCTCAAGGCCAGGATAAATAGAAATTGTAGGTGTTTCATTGCGTGCAATAATCCTTCATCCTTCACAATGCAAAAAAAATTAGACCCTCTGCGTGATCCCGAACCCCAGTCCAGCCCACCCAGCCCCACCTCCAAGCCTCCCTCCAGCCCCTCCAGCCCCTCCAGCCCCTCCACCCCCTCCAGCCCCTCCAGCCCGCCCCTCCAGCACCAGCCCTCTCCAGCCCTCTCCAGCCCCTCCAGCCCCCTCCAGCCCCAGCCCCCTCCAGCCCCAGCCCTCTCCAGCCCTGCCTTTCCAGCCAGGCCCTCCAGCCCCTCCAGCCCCTCCAGCCCCTCGCCGCCAATGTCCAGCCCACACCCAACACCCCAGCCCCAGCCCATCCCAGCTCTACAAGCCCCAGCACCCCCCCAGCCCCCAGCAAAAGCAAAAACAAAAAACCCTGCAAAACCCCCCAAAACCAGGCAAAACCCCCCAAACCCGGCAAAACCCCCCAAAACTCTGGACAGATAAAATTCCTATAAACCCTAAACCCTAAACCCTAAACCCTAAACCCTAAACCCTAAACCCTAAACCCTAAACCCTAAACCCTAAACCCTAAACCCTAAACCCTAAACGTTTGACTGTGTGGCCTTGCTAGCAGCAGTTTGCATGCAGTTTGCCTGTGTGGCCTTGCTTGCTGCAGAGGCGCTGAGGCAACACCATGATCACATCACCCTTTTCGAACTTACGCATGGCAAACAGACCCTTTTCGTTTGGAACCGCCAGGCTGTTGGCCAGGCAAACGTCATGCCGGATGCATGCCTGGCTCTGGGCCAGGCATGCGGGCAGGAACATGTTGGGACTCATCTCCGAGCTGCTGGTTTGCCCGGCGCTGCTGGGCTTGGCGTTGCTAGCTTCGAGGATAATGTGGTTCTGGTAATCTGCCTTGCCGGTGGACACAGCCATTGCCGCAAGGATTTCCGGCACTTCTGGAGTGGTGGGCAGCTGGGCAGCAATCGTGTCCAGCGCAAAGTCGCTGTCCGTTTTGATGAGGATGCGTTTCTGCAACTTCGATTTTTCCAGCGCCTCCAAGCTGTTCCGCAAGTCTGCGTTGTCAGATATGCACTTGAGGGGAGCTGGCAGCAAAAGCCGGGCCAAATTGAGAGCAAAACGCCCCCGCATGTCCAGCACCGCCAACATCTTCCCGGCACGCAAAACATTCAAGCCCTCGAGAAGCTCAAGGACTTGCTTCTCCTCCTCCGCAGCAGTTAGGTTCAGAGCCTTGCGCAGGGCCCTGAACCGAAAGGTCAGCAAAAACCCCATCACTTACACACACACTATCGAGGCCGGGGCGCCCCCGTTCTCATGGCTGTGGAGGAAAGCAACATTTTTAGCAGCTCTGAAGCTTGTTCTGCAACATCTTGCTTCTCGTGGTTCAATAACACTACGGCGGAGGAGAGGGCGCCAAGCTGCTTCAACTGCAGCGGCAGCTTGGTTGCTGCGGTCTTCATCATTGTTTCCGCGATGATGAGTTCTGCCTTCCGAGCTTCGGGATGCCATGCCGGAGGTAAGCAAACCACAACACAGCCCTTGGGCTCCGAGGCAGCCACCAGGCTTGTCAAGAGATCCACCGTGAGATCCCGTGTTGCGGCAGATGTAACCACAACGCAAACGGAGTCACCTTCAGAAGACCCCAGCGTCGCCACGCTGGAGCTTGGCACTGCAGAGAGGATGCTGCCCTTCTGCCGAGATAGCGCCTGCTGGAGGCCATCGAGCTTTCTAGCGGTCAACTGCGTCATGTCCGCATCACGCCGTTCCATGAGTGCTTTCATCTTCAAGAAGTAAGCTTTCAAATCGGCTTTGTACGCCTGCATGCCTGCTAGGAGCAGGGCGCCCACATCATCCTTCTGAGATTCTTTTCGCTTGAAGACCGCGCATGCCTCTCGAGCAGCTTCCTCAGCAGCTTGGATATGCATGTTCTGCTGGTTCAGATTCGCCGCAGCCACGCACTTTCGGACGAAGGACCATGCTGGAGCCGCAACCTCTGGTTGCGTGGTGTGCATGATAATGTTGTCCAGGATTCCAGTCTGAAAGTCCTGGTAGACCTCAGCAAAATCTATCCCAGGATACTTGGATTTAACCGCATCCATGCCGACCCGGAATTTGTGGCTCACAATCTTCATCTTGCAGCGGTTCTCCACACTCAGCTCCTGCAGAGAACTAGAAAGCACACGCAGCAAGCAGTCCGGCAAAGAACGCTTGCCCCACTGTTGCTGCAATCTAACAGTCCTCCATTCTCTGCACACTCGACAAGCTTTTTTTGCACTCCAACTTGAGAGGCGGATCTTTGCGCGCAGCGCACGTCACCATGGTAGACAGCCTTGGTGTTGGTAGGCAAGCAAGAAGGGGCGCAGTTTCCCAACTAATGTTCTCATCTGTGGAGCAGGACAAGGCCGAGGCACCAGCGACCCACCATGAGACACCAATCCTCCGGACACTGAACAGAATCAGCTGCTCGCTGGCGGTGGAGGGCAGGCAGCAAGAACTTCGAGTCACGGATCCAGTTGAGTGGGAAGGGTGCGCCGGAAACATTCTTCTCGATCATCCAGGCCTCAAGGAGATCCACACCGTCGGATGGAACTCGAGGAATCACCTTCAGGTACAGCACACGAGGAGTCGTGTGGAGAGAAAACTGACTTTCAGCCTTCAGGACGCCTTAAACCCAAGAAACCCGTGGTCGAGATGTCGAGACTCTTGCACATGTATATACAAGGCACCATCATGATGGCGCAACCTGGCCTTTTCGAGGCTAGTCCACTCGAACATGCGCGTGCTCTCCTTGTACTTCGATGTAACCGCCCGGCCCAGCGCTGCCCCATCTTGCTCGGCCCACAGCATCCGGGATGCCTTGAGGAGCTCCAACCATGACACCTCCAAAGCCTGTGATAGATTGAGGGTGCGGCCTACGCCGTCGGCCACGACTTCCTCGCAACGGAGCCACTCGAAAAGAAGCGTAGGCCAGTAGGCACCGGACTCACATACTGTGATGCTTTTATATACATTCTCTCTCTCTCTCTCTCTCTCTCTCTCTCTCTCTCTCTCTCTCTCTCTCTCTCTCTCTCTCTCTCCCTCCCCCGCCGGAAAACAGCGAGTGAAAGACAACTACGCCACAACACTCCTGGCGGCTTCGATGACCGGCATTCTCCACTTTCACAGCTGTCGCCATCTCGACGAGCCAAAAGGGCAGGTCTTGTTGCGTTTTCCAGAAGGTGTACAGTAGAGCGAACATCGCACACATGCGGTGGTGACCCTTCACGTAACACCAGGAGTCGTCGACGCGCGCCAACAGGATGGTATCCCAATCTCGCCACTCCATAGCGGCGCAGAGTGTGGTCATTTTATCGCCTCAGACAACATCGGGATATGTCTCCGCTCGCAAGATTTTGTACAAACAGAAGCATCAAGAATCTAAGAGTAGCACTCAATCCAGCGATGGAGACCGTACGGTGTCCACAGTCCATATGTGGAGAGCATGGCAAGAACGACAGGGGCACTGTAGCAACAGCACCTGCCTCCGGCATCACTGCTTGCGTTTTGTGGTGGCCTTGGCTGTCGGTTCGGATGTCCTGGGAGTGGGGGGAACTGGTGCCATTGCATAAAACAGCGCCTTGCATTGGAGGAACCGCAGACCGTCTTCAGCCAACCAGAGAAGTCGTCGCAAGGATTCTGCAGCTGCTGCAGAAGCTCGGCACCATGCTGTCGAGCCCATAGCACACAATCCTGCCACTGCGGAGTGAAGGAAACCCCCGACCCCCAACCTAGCCTGGAAGCAAGCATTATAAGTCACTCAGGCCTACCTGGAAGAAGCGCGGACGGCCGGGGCAGGTCCGTCCGCCGGACATAAGGCCGTAAATCCGCCGGACTTTAGGCTCCGGACATCCATAAGTTCGGCGGACTTCAGGCATCTCGCACCGGGAGGGAACACCACCAACACCTCTGGGCCAGGATGGGCCCAACAGCAAAGGGCCTTAAGTCCGCCGGACTTAAGGCTCCGGACGTCCCCCGACGTCCAGGCGGACGTCCATACGCAGTGCCGCGGTGAGTCTCTGCATGCTGTCTGGACGTCTACCCGGACGTCCGGGGACGTCTCAGGCCTTAAGTCCGGCGGACTTAAGGCATATCTCGCCTGAAGGCCGGCGGACTGAAGGCATATCTCCGCACCGTCCGGGGACATGTCAAGCCATAAGTCCGGCGGACTCACGGCATCTCCCACTGGGAGTGAACCGATGGGCCTGTGGATTCGAACGGCCAGAAACACCCCATCCCGCCGCAAGCCCTGACGGACGCTACTGCCCGTTTCGACATCAAGCACCATGCAAGCACCCACTGGCCTCTAAAGCTAGCTGGGGGGCTGTCTGCTTAGCTGGGGGGCTGTTTGCTTACGCACCATAAAGGGTACTAAGCTGGGGGGCTGTTTGCTTACGCACCATAAAGGGTACTAAGCCTCACGTTAAGCCTAAAGGCACCCCATCCCGCCCAAAGCTCAGGACTGGGGCCGTCCTCTGGCGCTGGAGCCAGGTCCGCATCCAGTGCTACGGCTTCCACAGCCATGGCTGGTAGGCACGACTCTTTGAATCTTTGGATCTCTGGAGCCCCCACTCGGATCGTCGGACGCTGTACACCCACTCCCACCATACAACAAACCCCAACCCCTAACCCCTAAACCCTAAACCCTAAACCCTAAACCCTAAACCCTAAACCCTAAACCCGTAACCCTAAACCCTTAATCCCTAAACCTTTTTTTTCTCCCCTCCTGCGAACATCCTCCCCAGACGGGAAAAACCGCCTGGCCGGGCAGCACGATCCCCATGCCCCCTCCCGCAGAGGCGACCTTGAAGTTTCCTTAGGGCAGAAATAGTATACGGTAACGGTCAGTAAATATAACCGAACATGGACGACCACAGAATCTTCAAGTAAGGCCACTGACCCCGCAGCAACGTCTGTACAACAAGGCCCGCGTGAGACGCACGGACTTCCGCCCCGCAGTTCCATGTCTTCAAGAGTCCACCTGCGCCATGCACGTAGCCGTGCTAGTATGGCTTCTTGTCGGGTCCTGGCGGGGGGGGGGCCTGAACGTCAACTTCTGACATGGTTTGAGACACCTCACGGCCGTGCTGCCTCTTGGGCAGCTCGAAAGACAAGCTGCGTGGCTGCAAGTCTTCCGGCCGCTTCCTTGCTTTTTTCGAGGGCGGCGTCGCAGGAGGCGGTGTCACTGGATCGGCCCCCCCAATCTCGTGGCTGCCAATCTCGTGGCTGTGGCATGGAAAGAGAACCCCGAACCTGAATGCTTGCTGGCCGAGACAAGTCGAGGAGACCACCTCGGCCTCTTGTTCACTCCAATTGCGGCCTATGTAAAGATCGCACATAGAGTCGCAAGGAGGCAAGGACGAAACGTCAATGGAGATCTTGTGACCCGTCCAGCGCTGACTGATCTCGATGCGCCCCCCTTTCTGGACTTCCCCGCCCAAGCAGTAGATGCCCTGCGTGTGCCAATCGGGCGGAAGGGTCAGATTGAGGCCTCGGCCTCTCTTTCGGCACCGTTGCCGAAGATACTCCACGACAGTGGTCATGGTCCGACAGCAGCCTACAAGCTGGAAACCAGGCCCGACACCTGTCAAGTACTCGACAATCTGGGCCAAGCCTTGTCTGGATCCTGCGGATGGATATTTGACCGCCAACCGCCTCAGCCTGGATGGAGTAAAACTGGGCTCCAACGCGGGTAGCACCTTCCTTAGAAAAGACGCAGGGAAGGCATCACAAGCTCACCGAGCACTCACAGGAAGCGCTCTCCAACAGCCGCACATCCAACATCCGCACGTGCTAGCAAGACTCGTCTGCCACGTGTTCACTCGAACATCTCCGAGGCTCCTCACGTTACCTGGTATTGCGTCGTGGCCAACGACAACCTCCCAAATGGCTTCAACGAGCGTCGGGTCCTTTTCCATGAGTTCGCAGATCCGCCGCTTTCTCTCGTCATGCCGAGATGCCATGAGTTTGTCTGGCGCGTGCGTCTTCAATCTGCTTCAAACCGCGGGATTTTGCGGACATCCTAGCCCTGCTTATCCAGATGAATTCAAGCCAACATCCACCTTCCCAACATAACCTCATGATTCGTCTCGATCCGTTTCGACAGCTACACCTTCCCAGCGCAGACTACAGAGCATGGACCTTGGGCAAGGATGCGCAAAGAAAGGTGAGGAAACTTCGTCTTGCATCTTGTCATGTGCACATGTTGCAAAAAACTACCCTGCCATCTTTGCCGCGCACACTTCCGGGCCACCCAGGCCGCCGAGTCTGCAGCATCATGTTACGCCACAGAAGATGACACAACCGCTTGGTTGGTCTCAGGCCCCGCCCACATCATCGTGTGGCTTTGTTCTTGTACCACGCCAGCTCTCGACGACTTTCTTGCAGCTGTCCTGCATCATGAATTCCCTGGCCAGAGACTGTCCGTCCCGGCCAGAGACTATCTGAACATGTGTCGTTCAAACATGCGTTAGGATGTGGGAAACATGCTAGGCAGCACGCATCCTTCTAGCATCGTGATGTGCTCCGCGCGTCGATCCAGCTCTTGCTTGGTGTAGTAGTACTCTTGCCGCAAACTGCGAAACTTCTGGAGGAGCTCGGCATTCAGGTCGTCCGTGCCAGGGTCTTGTGAAGGAACGGATGCCGCTACAGCCTGGGGCTGCGCTGCCGACACCGCAACGTCTGAGGGCTCTTGCTTGACAACGGGCGCCTGTGCAAGCAGAACTGATGTGCAGGAGCAACGCAACGCATGTGTGTTTTCTAACATCGGAGCCTTCTCCTTCTTGGGATCCTTCGCGAATGGGAGGACGATGTATGCACCTCTAGCCGGGCGTGGGATGGTCTTGGATCCTCGGACGACCCTACGCTAGGCCCCGCCTGCAGGCAATCGCGGTCGTGAACAAGGCTTCCGCGCCTTTTCGTACTGGCGCTGTTTCTTGCGTCGGTGGTCCTTCTTGGCCTGTTCTAGCTTCTTTTTGCTGAGACCCTTGCGCTTGGCGCCCGACAGCTTCGTGGCCGGCTTGTCCTTCCTGGTCCTCTTGCTGCTGCCCACGCGGGCTTGCTT